CTCAAGGGCTATTTTCAGAAAGGGCTGAGAGCTTTTATGTGCCTCTCACTGGCTTACTTCAGAGACAAATTTCCATGAAAGCCTCTAATCCTGTTTAGTCATTTTTTACAGAGTCGTCACACATCGCAAAAATCATTTTTCTAGGATGCGGGTGGTGCTTTCCCGGGACTCCCACCACCAGCAGCTGTCTCCCACCTCTCCCATCCCGCAGCGTAGGGTTCCCACGCTGCCCTGACATCCCTGGTGACCTTCGGCAAATCCCTGCGCTGTGCCCTGCTTTTGAGGGAAATAGGAGGGTTATTTTGTTGTTGTTACTATTTAAAAGCTCCTCAGATGTTTTATATAGATGTGTATGGTTTACATAGATGTGTGTGGTTTATATGGATGTGTATGGTTTATGTGTATGGTTTATATGGATGTGGGTGGTTTATATGGACATGTGTGGTTTATATGGATTTATATACTTTGGTGAGACCTGAAGAGGGTGCTTGCACCCTGGTTTGGGTAACTGGGGGGCAAAGACTCCCCCAGCCTCATGCACTGAGCGACACAGGGAAGTCATGGCATGAACACTCTACCCCAGTGCCTGTGTGAGGATGCGAGAGATGCCCAGCCCTAGAGCTCTCCAGAAGGAGTGGATATCTACAGAAAGATACGGGGGGTTTATTTTAAAAAATATTCAGAAATGTCAAAAAACCCCACTTGCACCTTGTAGAGAAAAGATGTGCTCCCCATTTTAGAGTCCATAAATCCCTGGTGCCCTCCAACCCCAGGGGAGCCATTGGGCAGGGTGATGGGGTCCCCCCGCATCCCGCTGTGGCAGCGGCAGATCCGGGGGGCAAAAGGCTGGTCTACTTTTACAGCCGCTCTGGGCGATGTGATAATTTGGAAATCGCTGCACCAGGCAGGAGAAAGCTGCTTTGCACCAGCCGGGAATCGAACCCGGGTCGCAAGAATGGGAATCTTGCATGATACCACTACACCACTGGTGCGCTGGGACCATCTGCCCCCACGCTCCGCCAAGGCTGCGCGACACCACCCCCTCCTGTATGGCACGAACGTGGGGGTCCCACGGACGCAGGGGTCCTGGGGAGGGGGGGGTGAAACGTGGAGGGTCCAGACCCCTCCGGGATTCCACCGGCCGGGGTCGGGGCACAGCCAGGGTGCTCCACTGAGGGATGAGGGCACCCAAATCTGGCTGCACAAAGGGTTCCTGGGCTCCCCAGTTCAAGAAGGACGAGGAACAACTGGAGAGAGGTCAGTGCAGAGCGACCAAGATGATGAGGGACTGGAGCAGCTCCCATATGAGGAAAGACTGAGAGAGCTGGGGCTGTTCGGACTGGAGGAGAGGAGACTGAGAGGGGACCACATTAATGCTTAGAAATACCTGAAAGGTGGGGATCAGGAGGATCACAGAATCACAGAATCACAGAACGGTAGGGATTGGAAGGGACCTCAAAAGATCATCTAGTTCAATCCCCCTGCCGGAGCCGGAACACCTAGATGAGGTTGCACAGGAAGGCGTCCAGGCGGGTTTTGAATGTCTCCAGAGAAGGAGACTCCACAACCTCTCTGGGCAGCCTGTTCCAGTGCTCTGTCACCCTCACTGAGAAGAAGTTTCTTCTCAAATTTAAGTGGAATGGGACCAGATTCTTCTTGATTGTGCCCAGCGACAGGACAAGGGGCAATGGTCACAAACTGGAACACAGGAGGTTCAGCTTAAACATAAGGAAAAACTTCTTTACTGTAAGGGTACCAGAGCACTGGACCAGGCTGCCCCGAGAGGTTGTGGAGTCTCCTCTGGAGACATTCAAACCTGTCTGGATGTGTTTCTGGATGATCTTCTCTTGGACCCCATCCGAATGGTTTCCCTGTCCCCACTGGGAAGGACAGGCAGGACTTGAGCTAGTGTAAACAGTTGGGTAATGCTTCCTCTTGGACGGCTGCTCGCAGTCCTGCCAGCAGTATTTAGCAAACACCGGCATCTTCGTTCCCCGCCCTCCTGATAGCACTGTTGGCCATAAACACCCCAAGCACGGGTTGCTGCCTCCCCTTCTCCCCTTCGCTGCTGCAGTGACACCAAGGTGAGTGAAGGACACGGTGACACCAACATGCAAAGCCACCCACAGTTGACACCGACCCATCAGAGAGAGAAACTATTGCCCAAAGCCACCCCTTTGAGAAGCCTTCAGGAAGCCACAGCCATCACCGGGGTCCTTCTCCCTCTGTCACCACCGGCGTTGGAAGCTGGTCCTGCTGCAGGAGATGGGGGACAGCACAGTCTGTCCCCACCATCACCCTTCTCCCAACCTGGAGACATGAAGGCTTCCTACTGCAGGAGTCTCAGGATCTAATTTTAATTCCAGGCAGTTTTAATAAGTAAGAAAAAGGCTTTGTGGACATCTCTGCCTCCTAAAGCCTACCTGGGCTGAATACATCTTTACCTACCAAAACACTGATCCTGTTTCCAGCAGCAAAGCTGATCTTTTCCCTTCCTAATCCCAACACTTAGCCCGGATCCTGCCCGGCTCAGCATTCACGCGCTGCACCCACCCAAAGGGCTCTGGCGAGGTTTGCCTTGTCCCCTCTACTGCGGAGATTTGGGATGTGGCAGTGCTTCCCTCAGGTCTGGCAGGATGGCAGCCTTCCATAAAGCTGGGTGGGCGCAAGGAGTGCAGCACCTTTGGATGGCAGCACCAGCCCCTCTCTTCCAGGCTGTGACATTTGCGTCCCCTCCACCAGACGGGTCCGTGGCAGGTGGCCATTCTCGCCAGGAAATCAGTTTTCAGGCTCAAAAAGGTGGTCGCTATCCTCAAGCAGAGCGTCCGGCCCCTCTCGGAGCCCATAATAGAGGTCATCCTCCTCTCCAGCGCCTTTGCGGGGGGAACCGGGGTGCTCTCCCCCTGCCGGGGAGCTGGTCGGGGTGCAGCCGGAGCGGACAGCGGATGGCAGGGGCCGACCTGGTGGCTCAGGGCTGCCGGGCACGGAGCCCTCCAGCGACGGTGTGTCCATGTCCTCCAGAAGTGACGCCAGCGGTGCTGGCCCCAGGGCAGGCCGGGGGGAGCTGCGGGAACAGGAGGTCACACTAAATACAGCTGGGCTGGAGCTGGGGCTCTGCATTGCTCCGTGAGCATCCCAGCATCACCAGTCCCCTTGCTGGGTGACTGGGACACCCCAGGGCCCTATCTCAGCCTCCAGTGCCTGTCTTTTTTTGGACAACTCATCTGTCAAGTTCCCTCTCCTGTCCAAGGGACAAAGTAGTGCCCTTTCCCAGCCGCAACTGAATTTTGGAGGAGGAGGTGCCTGAATGCCATGTCCTAAGGCTGCACAGTGACCCCATTGCCTGCAAAGTGCTTTTGGGATCTCCTGGACCAATGCGTGGGTATCATATATGGTACATAGTTTGAGGGACAAGTACTGAGTATCTCATTTCTATCAAAGTCCAGCCAGGAATTTGGGATTTATTCTGGTGAGGGACATTTTTCAATATTCATAAAATGAAATAAAAGCAAAATGCAAATTGCAACCAAGGGCAATCCAGCGGGGCTGGGGGTCCGGGTATTGGTACTGTGCAAGCAGCAAAGACCCCTCTGTCTCTTCTCTCTCCCCCCATGCTAGGGGTCTGAACGCCCCTTGGTTTCACCCCGCATCCCACCCGTGTCACCCCGACTCCGTGGCTATCACGTACCAGCTGCTTGCCGCTGTTTCCAGCCACGGCGCCAGCTCTCGGGGGGTGGCTCCAGCACCCCCCAGCTCCTGGTGCACCTCTGCCTTTGCCTGCACGGGGGCTGGCTGAGAGGAACTGGGGGGTCTGGGCTGGGCCGTGGGTGGGAGTGGGGCCGAGTCCACTGCCTGCCTCTGGATCTGCTCGTAGGATGGGAGGCTCTTCTCGTAGGTGCTGATGGCCTCTTGGTTGGGGCAGGGGACAATCAAGCTGTGGACAAAGGATGGACAAGGGGGTGCTGAGCAGGATCTGGACCCCCCCAGAGCCAGGAGATGCTCGGGGGGACACAGGGCTTCATCAGGTGCCTTAGAGGCCACTGAGGCCACACTGCTGCCCATGCCAGGTCCTTGCAGGGGGATACTCTGAACCCTCCAGCATCACTCCAGCTCCAACCCCGGGAGACTCAGCCAGCCCTCGCCTCCCCAACCCCAGCCCCTGCTTCTCATTTTTTGCTGCAATAGGTGCAGTTGTCCCTGGTGCCAATGTGCTCAGGCACTGCCCTTGTCCCCAGGGCCACGCAGATAACCCTGTGTACAGATGGAAACACCCGCCAAAGGGGAATCGGGATGCTGGGCCCAGGTTCTGGGACCTACCAGGTGTCCCTGTCTGGCAGCATGATGGGTTTGTGGTTCAGGAACCGCTCAGCCTCCAGGTTCACAGGGACAAACATTATCTGGGGGGAAAAGAAACACAGAGCTCAGGGGCTGGGCTGGGCATCAAGGGACCCTCAGCTCTTGTGAAACATCCAGGGTGTCCCTTCCCTTTGGTCTTTTCCCAGCACTTTTGGATGCCTTTCTTGGAAATGGTTTTTTCTTCTGGGGGAAAATCAATAAGGGATTGAATGAACCCAGGGTGGTCTTGCTCTCAGCACCTTGTCCCAAGTGGAGTCATGCACGTCCCCAAGCCCAGGGGGGTCCATGGGGGAGGTTGGTGGCCAGAGATAATGCCAAGGGTGCCCTGTCCTTGAGCCCTGAGCACAGCAACAAAGCCACATCCTGCTCCTCGCTGGGGCTGGGGAGCTCGGGCTGAGCCCAGGTTTTTGGGGAGCTGAGGCCAGCTTCAACCCTATCCCAGGGTACTCAGCCAGTCCCAGGGGGCCCACCTGCTCCTGGGTCCCACATTCTGGGGTGCAGCCAAGCTATGGATGGCCCAGATCAGTGCCACAGCCACCCTCTCCCTCAAAAAAAGCCTTTCCTGCCAGCCCCGTTTCCCAAGGCAGGGACGCGTGGCCGCCCTGCTGTGCCCTCTGCCAAGGAGACCGGGAGGTGAGGGCTGTGCTGGGGAGATCCTGGGTCTCCCAAACCTCCATGGCCACAACAGCCCCTGCTTTGAAGCCCTGGGAGCCCACTGAGCCCCCTTGCATGCGGGGAAAGGGCTGGTTTGCAGGGGTTGCGTGGGAGAGATGAACATGAGCTGATTTCCTGGGGCTTATTACCTGCTTGGACGCAAAGCCTCAGGTTCAGGGAGGTGCAGGGGTACAGAGGGGCAAGAGATCACTGTGGATGACTCCAGCGGCTTTTCCCCAGGATCTGCAGCTACCCCACCCCATGGATGGGGAAACTGAGGCACAGCCCAAGGCTCTACATCCACAGCAGCCAAAGCCACCCAAAACTCTCCCTGAGCCCCCCAAGCTGTACAGCAACAGGACGGACCCTACCTTAGGGTAGCACTGGCACATGCTCCAGGTGATGCCCACAGCTATGAGCAGGACACCCAGGGCACAGAAGGTGATGTAGATCTGGGGCTTCTCCACGCTCATGATGAACATCCCCGTCATCACCAGGAAGAAACCCAGGATGATGAACCCGTAGCGAAAGCTCTTCTCCTCAGCCATGGGGAGGACAGATGTCGGGAAGCCCGTCTAAACTGCAGCTGCCAGGCACTGAGCACCCTCCAGGGTAGGGCAAGGAGTGGTTTCTCTCTCCGGAGGCTGTGGATCAGCCGTGTTTTGAGCCTGGTCCTGCCCAGGGCTGAGCCAGCCAGTTTTTAATGGGTTGGTAATGAATGCAAACACCGCTGCACCATTCACACTCCAGTGAAGCTGCCCGGCAAGTGTCCGGGTAACCTTCCCCGCAGGCACGTGGAAGGGATGGGGAGGCTGAGGAGGGCACGGCCACAGGAATGGGGACCCCCAGAGTGGCTGGGACTCACGGGACTGTCCCAGCTCTGGGGGCTGGAGCTGGACTTGGCCATAAATCAGAGCTGGCAGATGCCCAAATTAAGGGGGATGCCAGCACACAGCATGATTTCAAGGGCTGCAGCAGGGAAGGAGGGAGCACTTGGGGTCTTTTTAGAGGGTGGTGGGTTGAGAATAACCCCTGCCTTGCTCTGGCTGTGTGGGAGCTGCCCTACTGGGGGGCTAAAGACAAGGAAGGATGGAGAGGGGTGAGTCCACCCAGGGAGTGAGGGTGGAGTGTCCGTGTGCCCTGTGTTGGCTTAAGACAGAGCTGGGGTGTTAAAAGGTGTCCCCTTCCCACCACATATCCGACAGCGGGCAGCAGTGGCTGTAATTAGCCTTTGGCTTGGCCCCTTGCTTACCTGCCCATGGGAGCGCACACGTGCCTGGCCCACTGCTTTGGGGGCATGCAGAAGCCAGCAGCAGTCCCCAGTGCAGTTGGCCTGGAGCCGCTCAGGGTGTCTTTCTATGCCTGAAATGCCAAGCGCACTCGAATGCCCCAAACACACACACGAACCACTGAACATCTCTAAACCAAATGAAGTGAGGCATGGGGAGAAACAAGGTGGAAGGGATGGAGATACGGCTGGACAGGGCATTGAAAAGGCAGAGGAGTGAGCAGGATGTTTTTTCTCTGAGCAGATTCCTCGTTCTTTGCTGCAGTTTTTATTGCACAGCTCTTGCTCTGAGTGGGCAGCCCCTGGCCTGTACGAGCTCCCCAGGATGGGACAGAGCAGAGAATGCAAAGCACATCCAACCAGCAGTGGTTTTATTAAAAATACAAAGGCTTTCAAACATGCCACTTACCCCTGACGCTCTGAACATGTCTCCCACAGGACCCACAACCCCAACAGCCCCAGACCAACTGCTCCGAAAGCCAGGCCAACCCTTTCCCCTCCTCACCCACCCTCCTGTCACCCCAGCAAAGGCAGGGGCTCAGTTTAATGCCAAGGGACCGAGCAGCCACCCGCAGAGTCCCAGCCCTGTGTCACTGCCAGCTCAGATGCCCCGGACGCTGATGTTTTCATAGCTGGGGGGAGGCGTTGCCTGCATCTCCCCCACGTGCTGGGTCTCCAGCCAGGATGGGCTGGGGCGGAACAAGGCGCTGTCGGAGGAGCTGCGTCGGCGGCCGCCCTGCCAGCTCTCATCCTCCTCCAGGTAGTGGTACAGGGGTGGCGTGAGCTCCTCTTTCCTCCCTGGAGGCTGGACATAGACTGGGGTGATGTGGGCAGGTCTGCAGGTCAGGGCTTCTTCATAGGTGGGAATGGCGCTGGCATCCCAGGTACTGTGAGGGAAGAAGAAGAAACCCAGCAGCACACCCCATCAACAGGAGCACCCCTGTGCCCCATCAACTGGAGCATCCCAGCACCCAACCACTGGAGCATCCCTGTGCCTTATCAAGCAGAGCAATCTCAGTGCCCCAACAACTGGAGCAACCCAGCTTCTGTCAATTGGAGCATCCCAGCGCCCTGTCAAACAGAGCATCTCAGTGCCTCATCAGTTGCCACATCCCAGCACGCCATCACCCCACTGGCTGGAGCATCTCTGAGCATGATGAACACATGTGTGCTGGGGACAGCACACAGGCAGGTTTTGCATGCCCAGGGTCAAGAGAAGACCATGTCAGCCACTTCCCCCGACTTAGAAGGGTGGGGAGCCATGCAGGAGGAAGGGCACCAGCCATCAGACATCACAACCAGGCCACATCGCCCAGTTCCCATCAAGTGTATTAACTTCTCACCCAAGAAGAAGGAAGGCAGCCTGGCAAGGTGCCTGTGAAAAGCTGCCACCTCCAGCATTCAGGGTTTCAACTACAGGTGTGAATGACCACAACACAGCAGAGGTGCTGGCTCTGGAGACGTCTGCCCCCTCCATTCCACACCGCACTGCTTCCCATGGGCAGGAGAGCACCCTCATCCTCATCCTCCTCATCACCTGCCTCGCCCCACAGCCACCTCGCCCTACAGTCACTTCACGATGCACAGAGGCTGCCGGCAGCCAGGCGAGAGCTGGGCGTCCTGGTTCAATGCAGTTGCACCCCACCCTGGTGCCTGCCGGAGCCCTCCATGCACCAGCCAAGCCCAGCGCCACTTCTAGCAGCACTTTGCTGAGCAAACATGGTTTGTGTACAGGGGAAACGTCTGCCCAACCTTTGACCTGCGCGTGGTCCCGCTCAGCACCCTACAAAATGGTGCTCAGGGAAGGGGACGTTCCCTGTGGGGGCACAGCAAAGCCCTCCATGGGAGGAGGAAAGCCCCCCCAGGCTACCCAGACCAGATCACAGACTCACTCCCAGTTGTTCAGATGGGCACCAAAACCCCCGGAGTATCAGGAACGTGCCTCCCACTCCAACTGTATTTTTATGCTTTTATGTTCTTAAAGAGTTTCTTTTAGTGCTGCTTTTCCCCAGAGCCCAATTTATGCTGGAGCCACGATCTCTGCTGTGACCCCATAAAACAGCACTGGGAAGGGTTGGCTGGCTCGGCTTCCACAGCAGTCTGGAAAAAAAAACACCCTCTTTTGATCAAAAACCTTTTAAATCAAGAAGTGGGGATAAATCTCCAGCTCACACAGGAAGAGTCTGGGGAGCCAACAAGCAGCATCAGTGTTAGAGGATCTGCAAGGGGCCTTTCCACACCTCAAAATAGGCTTTGTAGATGGACCCTCTGCCCACACTCCCATCCCAATGCCAATCCCAGGATTATTTTCCTTCTTTTATTCATTTAACGCCCTTTTAACATAGATTTTCTTCCATTCAAGATGGCATAAACCCCCTCATCCTTACAGAGCACTGTAGCACTGGGGAAAGTTCCAACAGCTGGAGGTCTGCATGATCCCCTCCCACCCCCAAATCCAGACCTCCTGCCAGAAAACCAACGCGGTCTTCTGCAGCCGTGCTGAGATGGTCAAACCCACCCTTGGCTTCTCCCCATGCAGGGACACGGCACCCACCTGCAGTTCCACTTCTCCAGCGGCTCGGCGGTGAAGTACTGCAGGTCCCTGGGGAAATGGTACTGGTAACGGCGGGACACCACCCTGGCGTTGGCTTTCACAGACCAGAGAAGCCCAAAGAGGAGGAGGATGCCACCGATGCCACAGCAGAAGAAGCTGATGGAGCGGAGCAGGGCACTGGAGGAGGAGCTGGGAACAGCCTCAGGTTCCCTGGGGGGCAGGAGGCGAGCCCCGCTGCCGGATGAGGACCCCACCTCCCCATCGCTCCACCAGGCGAAGCACAGTGTCCCCGTCACCAGCAGCACGGCCCCGGTGATGGTCATGCCATAGCGGAAAGAGGCAGCTGCCATCCTTCAGGAGGAAGTTTTAGGAGGGGAGAAGAGCGAGACGAGGCATGAGAGAGATGTCCTGCAAGGCAAAAAGGGGGAATAGATTTGAGCGGGACAAGATAATGCCAGAGGAGAAAATTACTGAGCTAGGACCTCTTTAGCTATTTAGTATTGACCATCAAAAGGGTCATTTCCACCATCTCACATGGGAAGCCCTTGGGAAGCCACCAGTTTGGACCCATAAACTTCCCAACAGCCTGGTTAAAATGTTTTCCAGAACCAAGGCAGCATTCCCATGGAGGCAGGATGGGAACCCCAGCCAGGGCAGCTCTGGAGGCCCCGGGGACTCACACCGCTCTTGTCTTTGGGTTTTATCCCAGACCTCCCCCAAGCTTGGAGGAACACCAGCTGGGTTTCTGATCAAAGTAAGGCTTAGGGAAGAGGTTAGGGAGAGGGACATAAATTTGAGACATCATCGCTTCCGAAGTACCGGTGCACATATTTTCTCCTCTGAAATCGGATGTACTTCAGCCCTGCGGTGACTGTAGGTGTCTGGCATCGTGGCTTATTGGGAGCAGGAATCCATGGGCATCTCCAATGAAAGTCTGGCATGTGATGGATACAAGGTAAACCCTCGGAGAGGGTACAGTCTACTGCTGAAGTATTTCTGCCATGCCAGGACTAAGGCAACAGGCTGCTGGGATCTACAAGGCTCTTATTGACACAGCTATGATGTCCCATTTTGAGACACTCCAGAAGTGGAGAGGGGCTTCAGTTTATTTCCGAGGTGGGGTAAATACCCAGCAAGAAGATGCAGGTTCAGCTCCCACTTCTTGATGGACAAGTGTGGGAATTAAGCGCCAGCATCTCCTTACAGATTCAGTTCAGGGTCACCCCTCTGCAAGGTCTTCCCACGGTGGCAGTGCCAGCACTGGGGGACAGCCAGGATGAAGACAGGGCTCAAGCACAAAGGTGGATGGAGAACTGGGTGACCAACACTCCGCCCCCTCCTTGGCCGTCATCACTTTCCCTGTATATCACTAATACGAAGATAATTTGGTGGCTTTGGTCTCCGTTCCTCCAGGCAGGGTTCTGCTCCTACAGTGGGGGTTTAAATTGCACCCTGAGATCCATTTGCACTGAGCTGGACCTGGGCAGAGAGCAGAGGTCCAGAACAGGATCTGTGCGATCAAGGGCGGGTGGAATTACGTTGTTTCAAGCCATTATTTATCAGATGGGCCCACTAAATGGAAAGCCAAATTACTTTGTAGTGAAAGAAACATCATCTGATCTAATCTACGTTTAATGAAGAAATCCGATGAGAAGTGGGATTTAGGAAATGTGCAGGAAGGACTGAGAGCCCCAGCAAACATGCTCTGGCTCTGCCCGTGGTCACGAGCCCAAATCTCTGCCCAGGCTGAGATAGAGAAGGGGCTGTCAGGGACCAGAGAGAGCTGCTAGAAGATGCTGTTAGGGATCAGCATCCTTCAACTCAGCACTGAGCACGAGCAGGATGCGGCATATGAGCTGGGTTCACAGAGCCTTGCAGCAGCAGATGCTCAGGAGAGCACAGGGACCCTACTGACCCATGAATCCAGCTCCTTTTGTGAGCAGCGCATTCACCTGGAAAGTTTTCAGCCAATATTATTTTTTTTAAAAAAACAAACCCACAACTCAAAACAACCCTACAGCAAAGCTCTCAATCCAACCACATGGAAATTACTGGTTGCTCCACACTGAAAGCCTGGACTGAAACAGCACCAAGGGTTGAAATGTTCAGCTCCTGCAGGCAATGTTTTCCTCATTTTGGGGTCAGCCTGGTGAGGTTTGGGAGATGCTGCGATGCCCCTCGTGAGGTCTGGGGATGCTGTGATTCCCCTGGTGAAGTCTGGGAGATGCTGCAATCCTCTTGGTGAGGTCTGGGGATGCTGTGATTCCCCTGGTGAGGTTTGGGAGATGCTGCAATTCTCATGCCCGGGCATGGGGAATTTTGCAGCTCCTGGCGCTGCACACATCTGGGAGCGCTGGCAGCGAGGGGGAGGCGTACGTGGAGGGAAGGCGCAGAGCTCTGGGAGGTGACGGATTGACAGCTCAAGAGAATAAACTCTTCTCTTTTGACAAAACCAGCGCGGAGCGGGGAGCAATGCTCAAAGCTCCTCCAGCCCCCCCAGCACGTGCTCCAGCAGCGCGTGTGTGGGGGCGGCTCCTCCGTGCTGGGTGGCATTGCCATCGCACCATCCCCTTGCCAAACCCCCTCTCAGGCTGGCCCGGCTCTCCTCAGCCTCTGTAAAAGACCGGCAACGTTTTTCTCAGCGCACCGACCACTGCAAGAAGAGGCCGAAGGAGCCAAAGGGAGGGGAGGTGTGAGGTCAGGGCATGACCCAGGTCCCTGCTCCCCGAGGATGCCCCTGGCTCTGCTCCCGGGAGCATCCCACACATCAGGTCTTCCACTGAGCATTTCCAGTGCAGGCTTCCTCCGAAGACAGCAATTCCCAAACACCCATCTCCACCCGCTGAGCCACCCTGACATTTTATTCAATCCCGTCTCCTCCTCTGACCTGCTCTAAAACAGTCTTTCCAGGGAAATAGATTTGCATGTTGCATGTACAAACAGATACAAATGTTAATAGTTTACATAGTTTCAGCAAGATGCTGAGAATAGCATCCCCCATATAAAGTTATGCAGATGGTGATTCATAGGGGCTACTAAGCATTGCTCAGAAAAACACTCTTTTCCAGTGACACAAGGAACAAAAAGAGTTTTGAATCTCTCCTACCGCCACCGAGCAGAAACCCCTCCACACCCCATCCCAAATCCACCTCCACACCCCTTCCCAAAACCACCTCCACATCCCATCCCTCTGCAGCCTCATCCTTCCACACTGTCTCGGCTGGAGACCTTTAACCACACGCAGACGTGTCAAGAGGAAGCCAAGCCAAAGTGCAAGCCTGTCATTAGGGACGCTCCTTCCTGCCTTTATCTGAATTTGCTATTATTATTATCACTATTAATTAGTGAGGGCTTTGGTGCCCATCCAAAGTGTAGCAATAACAAAGCTTTTGAAGGAGCATCCGAGCAGCTCAGCCTCCCAGACGCGAGATCAGAAGGAGGGGAGCCCTTGGGGAGCGAAGCACACGTATTCCCCCGCTGCCCTCATCCCCTCCAGACGGCAGTGATGCCTGAACCCCACGTCCCCTTGAAAGAAGTGGCCGTCACCCGATGTCACCCACTGTCACCCTCGTCCAGTGTCCCCACCACCTCTCCCCTCGGACAAAGCCACAAGTGGTGGGAAAGGGGTGGGGGGAAATCTGCGTCCCCTTCACCCTGACCATCC